GAGGCATAAAGTTTATAAAACCCGTTGAGACGATTGGTTTAGGGTTAAGGGTTTAGGGTTCTCTCTCTCTCGCCCTTGCCTCCCACACACTCACTCACCTTCGGCGACCGAGAGTACATCGACCCCCAAACCCCAACCCCTGCAAGTCCTGAATCCTAAAACTTAGGCCCCAGACCCAACCCTGAAACCGTACCCCAAAAACCCTAACTCCAAACTCCACCTTCTATAGAATGGCATCTTCAAGCCACTGCCGGGCACCTCATCGTAGAGCGCCAGAGCCTCCTTCCAGCGCTGGGCATCTGCAGAATCGAAGAGAGCCATGGCGCTGCTGAGTATTTGTTCTGGGTGTGGTTGTTGTGGTTGCTGTAACTGCTGTTGTTGTTGCTGCAATTGCCGTAGTTGCTGTCGGCGTGGCATTCAACCTTCCATAATATGACTAGGATGTAAATTGCTATCACTGCGATTAGCAATTAGTGAGTGCTATGCTGTGGGATAATATGGGGGTTTCTGAAAATAGGGGACCCTAATATAGTACCCTAAATAATAGGATCCTTATTATAAGAACCCCAAAATAAGGTACCCCTAATTTTCGGAAACTCCCATATGCTGTGGATGTTGTTCAAGGGCCAGGACCTCGGAGAGTTCCTGGGTTTTGCGGGTATCATAAGTGTCTTGGGAGTCGTCGCCATTCCCGAGAGTAGGGTTTAGGGTTTAGGGTTTAGGGTTTAGGGTTTAGGGTTTAGGGAGTAGTTCTCTGCTCAACTTCAGTGCCAGCGCCAGGTTGCTGGTGGCTTCTGTGCCGAACCTGTGCTTTGGCTTCGACAGCACAGTGCTGAAGGGCTTCATGGTCCAAGCCGTCACGAGCCCGGCAACAGTTTCACAGGACAAAGGAGAATGCCCATTGTTAAAAAAATCCGAATCCTACGATCAGCTTTACAGCCTACGATCAGCTTTACAGAGCATCTCTTAACGCATGGCATGTCTTTAGTAGGTGGCATTTAGAGACCTGGCAGTAGGACTTCTCGTGCTGCCGCGGATTTGTTGCGGAAACCTGGTGGGACTCCAGGAGTCTAATCGTGTCGTGTTTCATGACTCCTGAATTCATGCACCCACTTCGACTTTCTAGGCCCTTTGTCTTGCGAGCTCAATCACAAACTTCTCACTTCCGATCCTATTAACGTAAACTATCTTACCGTAAGCCCTGCAGACATGCATACTAGACTATTCCCTTTATGGTACTCATGAAAAATTGTTCCAACATCATATCCCCCAAAACCACTTTTTATGTGTTAAGGCTGTCACTGTTTTACTTCCTCGGCAGTTGCCTCTGACTAAAACTCCAGTGCGTAGCAGCCCGGAGAGCTTCAGCTCGAGCAGCCGGAACCCCTACCACTATTAGCTTTTGGTACTATGAACTATTGCTAGTGCTAGTACTGGCACAATTACTGTTACGATTTTTCTTCCTCTTACTCTCGCTCATACTAATACTATGACTGTGACTACGAGTGATCTGATTAAGCAAACCGTGTCTCAACTTAGGGGTGGTGGCTGGATTTGGGCTCGTGCCGGCTGTGAAGGTTTCCGACCCTTGACCCTGAGTCCTACTTAGGGTTAGGGTTTAGGGTTTAGGGTTTAGGGTTTAGGGTTTAGGGTTTAGGGTTTAGGGTTTAGGCTTTAGGGTTTAGGGTTTAGGGTTTAGGGTTTAGGGTTTAGGCCTGGTTTAGGCACAATCTGACACAGCACTTCAACAGCCACCATAAACGAAAACTCTTAAGAGCAACAGTCATACCAACACCCTAAACCCCAAGCCCTAAACCCTAAACCACCCACCAGCTTTTTTTGGATTTTACAGTATATATCGTATAACTAAGTATAGTAACGCACCCTAGATTGTAAGGCACCCTAAAGAATTTAATCGTAGCTACTCTTTGGGCCCCTTCAATTGTTCAAAGCTGGAGGCTTCCCGGCATCGGAACCTGGAGATCCGAGAGGATCTGCAAAAAGGCACAAAAGAAGTGGAGCCCTAAGTTACTGCTGGGATCCTGAAGGGAACGGAGGTTCGGGGTTTGGGGTTTAGGATTTAGGGTTCAGGGTTTAGGGTTAGTTACTGTTTATGGGATCCTGAAGTGAGAGGGGTTCAAGGGGGTATATAAAACAGTGATGCCTTATTCTTCCGAGTACTCCTTAAGGCTTCCTAAGGCTCCATAAGGTTCCGTAGCACCCTCCCCTTAGAACCCCCGGCCCTAACTTAAGGACCCAATAAAGTCTAGGGGCCTATTGTGTCATAACTGTAGCAGGAGCTCTAAAGGGGTATATTATACTATGATAGTACTAGGGCTAGGGACTATCAGGGCATGTTGTCGAAGACTTGTTCGCTTCCCTTTATTGCACGGTAAAGTGCTAGAACACGACAACCTCGGGTAACTAGGCCGTTGCTTCTGTGCAGCGTGGAGCTGGTCCAGAACCCCGCCTTTGGCGGTAGCTCGTATACTGTAGGGGCCTTAATAATTAGAGTAGCGCTTTGGGGCCCATTATACTATAGTGATAATAAGGAACCCCCAAAATAGTATAGGTAATTATTTAGGCCCCTATAGTATAAACAGCCGCCGGCTCTGCGTTCAACGCCCCGGGCAGCCTCAGCTTCATTGCCTGGACCTCAGGACGGAAGGTTCTGGGGCGGAGGGGTTACCGGGTTCAGGGTTTAGGGGTTCCAAAACACAAAAAAATCTGAAGGTGTCGTGGGGAGCATGAAACCGTGAAGAAGGTGCCCGTACAAAACCAGAAAACCGCACCCAAAACCAGCTCTAGAAAGCATGCTGTACATCCTTAAACCCTTAACTTCCACACCGAGGTCATGAAACGACAAATGCTTGGAGGTTCTCTTTCACATAGGGGCCTGAATAATTGGAATACTCCTATGGAGTATATTATTGTAATATAGTCATACAAGGACCATGGAGGATACTTTATTAACTATTCAAGGCCTTGTGACTGTCTATTAAGAGTCATAGTGGTGAGGAGATGTGTTCCCTACGTGCCTAACTTCGGGGCTTGGGACGTTTCGGTGGCCCTTGTGTTCTGGGTTTGGGCTGACAGAGATCCTACTTTTTCGGGTTGATGATAGGGGTCCGCTGGAAGAGCTGTTTAAACTTACGGGAGCTGTTGAAGACGTCCCCAAACCCTAAATTGCTAAGCCCTTCTAAACCCTAACCCCCCCACCCTAAACCCCTAAACCCCTAAACCCCTAAACCCCTAAACCCCTAAACCCCTAAACCCCTAATCCCCAATCTAAGACCCTGAATCAGGAGCCCCTTAAACCCTGCAGAGAGTCGGCCTGCGGATGCTGTGCCCACAAAGTCAGGCCCTGGTAAGTCGGCTCAGCTTTCAGGTTTGTAGGGTTTAGGGTGTAGGGTTTAGGGTTTTTCAGGTCTCGGGTTTAGGGTTTTTCAGGTTTAAGGTTTCGGGTTTTTTTGGTTTAGGGTTTAGGGTTTAGGGTTTTTCAGGTTTAAGGTTTAGGGTTTTTCAGGTTTCGGGCTTGGGGTTCACGGTTTTTCAGTTTTAGGGTTTAGGGCATAGGGCTTTTCAGGTTTAAGGCTTTGGGTTTTTCAGGTTTGGGTCTAGGGCGTAGGGTTTAAAGTTTAGCGTGTTCTATCTATACCTGTACCAGTAAATTAATGAGTCATACAAATGCTATTCTTACTAAATAAATACTATCATTCTGACTAACCAGGACCAATATTTCATTGCGATCATAATACCGTTATCATTATCATCATCTTTATCACTTTGAGTATCCTTGTTCTCAGTATGATTATTATTGATGTTGTAACACCACCATTACTGCTGGTATGAAGCCTCTCTTGAGGCTTCTAGTAGTACAGGGTTTATCGGGCTCCGAGTGTGTACAACCTTAGGATCGGCATTGCAGGGGTTTCCAGAAAGGCGCTAAGGCTTAGGGCTCATGGTTTCTATGCAAGGTGTGGGCTCTAAACCACGTTAAACCATGACAGGCGCGATCGCAAAGCTACAAATTGAAACTGGCCGGGTTCTGCGAGCCTGCCACTTAGAACAAACTGCACTGAACTCGACAGAGGGTCCTTACATGAACTCGGCCTGAGGAATATACCACGATCATAACGGGGTGCGCTCTGCAAGGAGGGTTTCGCCATTGTTGTACCGTTTGGTTCATTGCGCTGTAGAAACTGACTAACCTACAACACCCTGGCGCAACCTTTCTAAAATCCTTATAACACCCTGGTTGAAACCTTATGATACCCCTCTTCACTGCTGAAGCCGGCTAAGGTCCGAGCTGGGGCAGATGGCTCCGCAGGGCCTTCGCAGCCTCGAGCAACCCGCAGGTCAGGCCGTAGCTTAAAATTAGAATACGGTTTAGGGTTTAGGGTTTGGGGTTTTGGGGTTTATTATTATTATAGATGATCGCACAGGGACTAGAAGGGGTTACTAGTAGTAACTATTCTGACCTCAATAACTTCGGCTTGGACTGGCTTCAAGAATGCCCTGAGATCGTAAGCCTGCCAGGCTTCAGGAGCATGCAATCGATTCCCAAATAGTCAGAATCAAAATGCAGGATCAAGATTTGCATGGACAACCGGCAGCACTGCTTGTTTTGCTTGCCTTAACTCCTCTAAACGGCTTGCTACATTTTAGGCCCTGCAGTAGACCGGTTATCAGTTCTCAAAAGCCCGAAGCTCGTCCAGGTATGCTCGATGCCTGACTGATCCGAACAAAGAGCTTGTCACAGCTGACACGGCGATGACGTCTCCACATTTGAGCACAGCCTACCTACGGAAGGCTGACATGAAAGTGTGTGAGTAGGTTGCCGGACGGGCTGGTGCTGTACACTGTACAGGTTCCGCACACAACGTTTCATTTGCAAAACGTGAAGTCGAATTCAGTCTGCTTCCAGCTATTGCTGGATTTTGACCGATAGGGGCGCTTGGGTGTCTGCACTGGAGATGCTTCATCAACAACTTGCTTCCTAAGAGCCTTGGTCGAGGCCTTCTGCCGTCTGCGACAAGCTCTCTGCTTCTGCAAGTCACGCTTTCGGGAGTGAACCTCCTTTGCAGTAGCTCTCTCTGAGAAGAAGCACTCTGTGATTACACGGTCTTTCTGGGCAACCAGACCAGCCAGAAACTTGTCCATGCCATGGCGACACCTCAGGGCGACATGCAGGAGCCGTTTGTCCCGGTTCACCACCGCCTCCTCGAGCGCCTTCCCGAAGGCCTCACGCCCTTGGGGCCCGCATCCGCATTCCAAGAGTAGAACCAGGATCCTCTCATACCTGGCACGAGTTCGTTCCGGAAACTCTCGACGGATCATCAAGGCCATGTCGAGTGCGGTTTGGCCGTGGCGTGTCTGGGCATTGATGTCCACGCGGCCATCTGCCAGGAGTTCATCCACAATTTCTGGGTTCCCTGCGAGCACGGCCAAGTGAAGAGCCGTCTGGCCAGCAGCATTCGCCGCAGCCACAGCGGTAAAGCGACTGTGATTCAGTAGGAGCCGACAAGTGTCCCATCTACCCCACGCAATGGCAGCATGAAGGGCTGTGCAAGACTGCACACAGTGGTTCAACTCGTATGTGTAAAAAATAGAATAAGGCATGGCGATATCTGCCACCGCATCAGCCACTTTAAAAGCTGAAAGGTCAAGCAGCACCTTGCAAATCCGAGTCTGGCCCCATGCAGCTGCATAGTGCAAGACCGTGCACGGGTTATAGGTGTCACTGTCACCATAGAAGTCCGGGACTGCATCCCACCATGTGTCCTTCGAGTTTAGCTGGCTGCCATCCCAATCTGCCTCCATGATGTACTTTGCCACCCTGACATCTCGCCGCTCTGTTGCCATAAGATCCTTCTTCTGGCAGGTCGGCCACGTCTTGAACTCTTGCTCCCGTGACTCCTTCAGAAAATCAACAAGTCTGGGCGGCTCCTTGCGCATGACATGCAAGTCGACATGTGGTGACCGGGCAAAGGTGTGAACAACGCGGGCAAAGTCGCTGAGCACCACACCGTCGCAGAGAAGCTCTAGATACTCCAAGGGTGTCCTCGCGGGCACCTCTAACATCTCCTTCAGCTCGCTCACCCGGGTTCCAGGATCTAGAGTGAAGGTGCCAATAGGCGCTCCGGTCATGGCCCAGGAGACGTGGGCACAAACCTTGTCATCACAGCTCATGGCTCTGGTCGGGAGCCTTGCGTCCAGTAGCTAAGCTCTGCAAAACTGCGACGGAACAAGTTCCACGCTTTTGGTTATCCGTTGAACCGTTGGCACCTGACACCCTCTGCGGCCAATAGCTGCGCAGAAGATCACAAGCGCGAAATACTTGAAGCCTCAGGCACATGGCCGTTTATCTCTCCGAAAACCCTAAACCCTAAACCCTAAACCCTAAACCCTAAACCGTTTCAGGTTCAGGCCAGAAGGCCTCCGCCTGCGAGGACGTCGAGTAGCACTTGGCGCTCCTTGCGACAGCCGCGGCTTGGGTGACTCGGGGGACTGGAAGCTCTATCGGTTTAGGGTTTAGGGTTTAGGGTTTAGGGTTTAGGGTTTAGGGTTTAGAGTATCATGGGAGCATACAACGGCCGGTTTAGCGTAGAGGGCTTAGGGTTTAGGGACCAATATAGCCTGGCATCTGGGCTGCAGAGATGGCGGCTCTGGCTCGAGTCAAAACGTTCACATTAGGGTCAAGACTAACAGCGCATGCGACAAAACTGGCCGCAATATACTATACTTACTGCTGATGGACAAAATCCTGCATGACCATATATACCTAAACTATGGGAATTATGGTGCTATACTATACTTAGGTCATGCAGGATTTTGTCCATCACCTGTATGAATCTTATGAACCATCAAGCTCTGCGTAATCGGAAACTCACAGTACCAGTCGTGAACCCGTTAGGTTCAGGACGAAGGGCTTCTGAGCACCGGAGATGCACTTCTCAAGACACGCGAAGACATAGGGCCCGAAGCCTGCATTCCTATTGCTGATAACGTGTGTTTGAAGTGCTCACCAGTTCGTAGATCGAAGCCTTCAAACCCTAAACAGAGAAATCCTGAACCCGAACCGGTCCCTCAAACCCTAGACCCTCTTGCTCCAAGTGTCGGTTCTACTACGCGACAAGCGAGAGCATCTAGCAATCACAGATGCTATCGTGAATGCGAGGATGCACAACCAAACCATCCTTTAAGAATGCGATACAATATCATGTAATGAAATATAACATGATATAAACAGAGTACAATGTAACATAACATAAGTGTAAACATACACATGAATATACATACTACGAAATACCATGTACGCCTCTCCGCCTCGCCCCGGCTTCGGCAACCCTGCTGCGCCTGAACACCGAGTTGTCCAAGAACACCTCCAGAGGCTGCAAGAGTTGGCTGAACCGCTTTCGTCATTAGGCTTAGAAAGGCTTAGGGTTGCCCATTCTTGGCTTTTTGATTCGACTCCTGCACAACCCCGATCAGACCCGGTCTGAACTCTTCAAAGGCGGCGTCCGAAGCGCTCAAGGATTTGATTCTAAACCCTAAACCCTAAACCCTAAACCCTGATTTGATCCAGGGGCGACCAAAAGGCTTCGGTTTGGGGGCTCCGGTAGTTCACAGTGGGTTTTGCCTGTCAGGTTTAGGGAGAGGGCAGGAGGATCGAGAAAAGCAGAGTTCGCTGCGGTTCCTGAAAGAGGACTACGGAATCTCACAAGAACCGACGAAACCTACTTGGAGCAATTACATTTGTTCACGACCCCTCCAGCGCTCAGGCTTGTGGGCAGTTTAGGGTTTGCGCTTGATCATGGACCCTAGGATGCTGATGATGACGTTGACCTTAAGCTCTTGACGCCCTTGAACGTATAAGCACCGGATAAGCCCGAATTGGTACCTTTGCTCCGTGTCTTGACTATCACCCATAGACCCCACTACCGTCCCTCGGAACAGACTTGCCTTGAAGCCGGAACACCACCTTTAAGCCCCAAGCCCCATGCCCATATCGTGCCCATATCCCACATCCGATAGGTACCCTGAGCAGTAGCCCTGATTTCCCCGATCGACCAGAGAAAGCGCAGGGCCTCGATACCGCCCTTGGCGGGCAGCAGAAGTGTCGGCCCCGCGTTCGTGAGCACCGCGTTGCACTTACCTGGAAGCCGGGGTCCATCCGGTATTTCGAATAGAGATTTGGGGCTGAGGCTTGGGATTGGAGGTTTAGGGTGCGGGATGTTTCTCATGGAGGTTTGGCGGGTGAAAGCCGAAAAGTTAGGCTATTGGTAAGTAGCTTTCTCCAAAGTTTACAACCAAAAACACGCCACTATCCGCGGCCCTTCAAATACCACAGCAGACGCCGAAGTCCCCCAAGACTAGACCCCCACAAGCCCGAACCGCGTTGAAAATATATGATTACAATAACAATACCAATAATTATAGTAATGATAATAACCATAACAATGCCAATAATTCTGAAAGTAGTTGTAGTTGGAAACAAAAAACATACACGCACGTGCACCTAACGAACTGCCAACTGACATCGAAGCCCACACACACAACCACTCGAAACATACAAAACCACTGAACATCGTGGGTTGCAAAAACCCAGGCCCCACCGCCTCCTCTTCTGTCATAATACCAATAATCGTCATCATAAGAACAAGAATAAGATTAATCATATGGAGGCCTCAATAATTAGAACAGGGTTTTGGGGCCCATGATACTATGATGATACTAAGGAACCCCCAAAACAGTATTGCTAATCATTTAGGCTCCTACACCCTAAACCCTAAACCCTAAACCTTAATAATTAAGCCCCAACCCCGACGGAGGCCCTGGTGCCTTCGGCCCTGAGCTCCAAAGCCCAGAAGGGGATGCACTGTACTTGGAGTGTCGAGGGACTTAGGTAAGTACCTGAAGCTACCGAAACCTACCTTTTTTGTAGGGCCCCCATGAAGTCTATGGTGGAGTCTAGAACAAGAACCTACAAGAAAGGCTAGGTCTTTGGTAGTTTAAGGTAGGCAGTACGCAGGGTTTCAAGCACCCGGACAGAGACCCGGACAGAGGGAGGATGATCGGGGCCTGGATCGTTAGAAAGGCGCTTTGGGGCACATCATAAGCAGTGTACCATTATTCAGGCCTTGGTAACCATTCAGGCCCCTGTATCCAAAACCCTAAACCCTAAACCCTAAGCCCTAAACCCTAAACCCTATCCTAATTAAGCACCAAATCAGGCACCTGATCCGAAGTCTGGCAGCTCCCTCTTGGAGGAGTTGTTAATGCCCAGCATAATGTCGCCTCGGACAAGGCATCTGGGGTGTGCCGTTCTTCAACCTGGTAGGAGTTGTCTTCACATGACCATGATGTTTCTGTTTTTGAAAGCTCCGAAAGTTGCACATCTGCGGCTAGGCAGTTGGGGATTAGGCTTCGAGCTTGTCCGTGCTCTTGAGAAACGAAAACTTGAGATACAAGAAAACTAGATAGAATAGATATATCGACGGATGGATAGATAGATAGGTACATAGATACACAGATAGACAGATAGACAGATAGAGAGAGAAAGAGAAAGAAAGAAATAAGGATAGATAGATAGATAGATAGATAGATAGATGGATGGATAGATAGATAGATAGATAGATAGGTAGATGCATA